TGAGCCGTCGTCAGCGCGCGGCTGGCTCTTCAGGGTCGTGGCCTCCGCTGAAGGTCAGAACCAGGCCGGGGGCCTTCAGTCACCGGAGCTGGTGCTGACATCACCCGCCTGGTTTGGCGGCCTTTCTGGGCCTGGGGCTGAAACGTTCTCTCCAGGGAGGTGACCTTTTGTGTCTGGCTGTAAATTCCTGGGCCAGCATGTTCAGCTGCCTGCCTCAGTCTCCCTCGCCCACTGGTCCTGGCTTCGGGCCGGTCTCAGGCCCGCGGGCTATGAAGCAATGCGGGCAGTGGGGACGACCGGGAAACCAGGTCACAGCTGACAGTGAGCTCACAGGGCAGCCAATGGCCGCGGCTCCTCCAGCAGGGACTGTGTGCACGGTCACAGGATCGCGACGACGTCAACGCCGAGTTCGCCCAAACCGCCGCTGGAGCCGCTGAGACGGCGGGGACGGACGAGCGGGAGGCGGCGTGTGAAGAACGCGCCCAAGTCGCTCTCGCCACGGTCGCCTCCCAGGCACGGCGTCAGTAGGTGCTGCCCCGAAAGGGAAAACGGTCACACAAGAACATGGAGCCCAGTTCCAGAAAAAAAATAGCTTCAAAAGCTGAGAAAATCTACTTCTGGAGACAGGACATTAATAGTGGGACCGAGTAAGACAAGAGACTTCCTGAGTTACAAACATATTAGAGAAGCTTGACTTTTAAGATGATGATCATGAATATCTTTGAAAGAATTAACATGTAATTACTGTCAGCAGCCGGTGTTTTAACTTCATTTGTATAATATTTTATGATCCCTAATTTTTAAATTTAATGTAGTCAACTGCGCTGGTTTTTCTTTTATGTGTTCTTTGTGGCCTTAATTCCTTCCTTAATACAATAGGAAAACACAACATAGCGTAAAACAATTGCTAAAGTATATACAGTGCCTCGCTAAAGAGATGAAATTTGAAACATACCAAACAATGCTACATGTATTGTTTTTATTAGACACATAAATAACTAAGATATATAAGAAATAACAAGGGCAATACTGTTATGTCGGTAACATTCTATTTATTTTAAAATGTTTCATTAATGAGGTATTCATTGTAGGAAGACTTAATTGGTAACAAGATATCTTTTTCACTTTTCTATAGTTCAGGATGTTTCATATGAAAAAGAGAATCAACTGGCAGCCACAATACCCCCAGGCAAGACTTACGGAGAGGAAGGTGCTTGGTTCTGGGGACCCCCAGAGGACCCCTCACCCAGACTGCGGGGGGTCGGCCAGGGGAGCCTCGGGAAGGCAATGACACCCAAGCAGCAGCCCGAGGGGACCGGGGCGGCGCTGGAGGGGGGCTGTGCAGTGGGCCAGGGCGGGGGGCTGTGTTTCCCGAGAAAGTAGGAGGCATCGGTGCCGTGCGCCTGGGGGAACTAGTGCAGGCCCCCCGCGACCAGGGCAGCCTGGATCTCACCCGCGGGAGCCGGGGCCACAGACTCGGTAAGGAATCCGGTGTCTGCGTTGACCTGGGAGCAGCCTGAGTGCTTTACACAGTAGTAGTTTCCCCTGACACGGTGCCTTTGGGCCTCCGAGCCTACGTTTTCCTTTTCCGCCTTCCCGGCCGCCGGCGGGAGCACCGGGGGTTACGCGCCTTAGTGCCTAACCTCTGCCCCTCTGTCCGGGGGCCCCCAGACCGCCCTGACCCCTGCGCCCGACGCGCCCGCCCGTCTGCGCCAGCGCGGCCCCAGCACACAACTGTGAGGCCCTGACCGTGTTTTCTTCCCTTCCCTCCCCTTCCTGGGCCCGCACCCCACCTCCTCTGTCCTGTGGGATCCTGGACCCGGGATTCCTCTGCCCTGCGCGCCCGGCCTTTCCGTGTGCGGAGGGGCGCTGGACGCAGGTGTGTGTGGAGCAAGGCCAGCTGACCGTGGCTCTTCCCTCCCGCGTCCAGCTGGGGAGGGGCCGTGTGTGCTGAGCATCGGCCGGCTTTCGGCGCGGCCCGGCCGAGGCGCACTTTTCTCAAAAGCAGGTTCGCGGAGATACTGGGAAACACCCCGCCTCACTCCTGTGGAGTGAGAGCCCCTTCTGGTTGGAGCCCTGAGTCCCCGTTTACCCTCGGAAGAGAGGCAGTCTTCCTTCCAGCCGGGAACAGAACTCGATTTTGGTATCACGTGCTACTTTTAAGTGTCTTTTTTAGATTGAGATGAGCATAAAAATCTATTGATTTAAGCTCAGAGCGACACAGTCAGATCGTGAGACTGCATCCGGGAGAGGAGCAGTGAAGGGCCCGGAGTCCATGGGACTGGCCCGTGGGCGGGCGGGGCCGGTGCAGGGCAAGGGGCAAGGAGCAGGGTTCTCAGGAAGACCCACCGCCTTCCCTGCGGGGAGGCGCGGGGGGCTTGGGAGGTGAAGGACCCCGACATACTGCCAGGGCTCCACACAAGCGACTCCTTACCGTGTGATCTCACCGGGCGGGGGCGCGGCAGAAACCGGCGCTGTGAGCAGCCACGCTCGAGGGGTAAGGAGCTGTGCTCGACCGCCAGTGACCCAGCTTGAGTTAATTTCTGTGAAGCGTGGAAGGTCTGCGTCTCATCGGATGCGTTTACTCTTTGCGCCTGCAGGCGCAGCTGCTGCAGCTGGCCTCACGGGCACACGACGGGCGAGGTTTGGGCACGCGGTTCGGCGTCGGCGGTGGGTGTCCTGGCTGAGGCGGAGGAGCATGGAGCTCGGGAGAGCGGTCTCTGCCGGAGAGGGAGTGCGGGAGTGTCCCCGGCGATGGCCAGGCCTGCCGCGGGCTGGGCGACGCTGCGACAGCTGGGACCTGGCGCTGCAGCTGCCGGGGGACTCGCTTCCATAAAGGTAACGGATTCCACCGTTACCCCCTTTTAACCTGCGGGGGTGCCCTAACTGGGCAGATCCTGTGTGTTGTTTTGGTGTCCTCAGTGCCTGTCACAAGGTCTGACACACATGAAGTTGTTGAGTGACTGAAGAAAAACCCAGGTAGAGAACCAAGGCTCCGAGGACCATAACTGGCCTCGGGGTGGGCGGTGGGGGCCTCTGCTGAGAAGCTGGCTGCGCGGGGCCAGGCCTACGCGGGGCCCTGGGGTCACGGGGATGCCTTTGGTCTCTGAGTGGGATGGGTGAGCGCTGACTCACCAGCATGGAAGATGAGGGTGGGGTTTAGCGGGGAGAGTTTTGGGATGGAGAAAGAGGGATGAGAAACCAAAACCAGTCTTCTTGTTATTTCTAGGCATTAAACAAATGAGCCCAGCTCAGACTCGCCACCACCCCCGGTTAGGAAAAGTCAGTCCCAGCCCACGGTCACATACCCGTAAGACCACAAAACGGCACGGGGCGCGCCCGAGGCGAGCGCCTCCAGAACCCAGACCCCGGCTCCGGGCACCCACCCGCCCGTCCCTCCGGCACCAGGCTCTCTCTAGCTTTCCTTGAACCCATTTTCAAATCGTTCCCATTCTTCTGAGTGCAGTTAATAGCAGCTGCTATTAAAAATAAAACCCCACACCACAGAGGATGTGTCCATCCATCAGTCTCCATGTCAAGCGTTGAGTGAGAGCCGCTCAGTGCTGGGCAGGGCGCTGGGAGCGGGCCGCAGCAACACGCCGGAGACCCGGAGCGGGGGTCCGCGCAGAGGCCGCCGAGAACCGATGTGGCTCCCTTCCACCCCCAGCCCCAGGATCTCCACCGAGTTTACAACATTCCGCCTGCAGGATTCCTGGGGATCTTTTACCCAGTCATTTACCCAAGCCCCACATTCCAGGCCCCTGCTGGGGAAGCTGTTGCTGTTTCACTGGATAAACGCCAATGCTGTTTCCAATGAAAACCGTGAGGGGACTCCAGAGCTAAAAGTCTGCGCGGCCTGTGCTCTCCTGGTGAGACACGGCCCTGGGCGGGGGGCGTGGGGAGCAACCTGCCTCCTTGCAGTCCAGCACCGTTGGCACAGGACGGGGCTCCGAAACAAGGCTGGACCCATTGCCCCTACGGGCACTGTATCCACTTAAATCTAAAGGGTCAGGACTGGGAAGGGGAGCTGGTAGGGGCCCCCACTGGGACTCAGCCACCGGGAAGGAGGCAGAGGGCTGGGAGGCCCGGAGGGAACAGAAAGGCAGCCTAGGTTGCACCCGCAGGGGGTCTGCAAGCAGCAGCCCTCACGCCACTCCGTTTGGCCTCCGACCTGCTGGGGCTTGGCCAGGGCCCGGTCCAGCCTGTGCTCACGTGTCTAGAAGTTCTAGACAAAGAACCACACCGACTCTCCATTTTTGACAAAACCTCTTTTTTATCCCCCAAAGCAGACTGGATTCTCCTGTCTTATCCTGAATCCCCTAACCCCAGGCCACCTCGCAGTGGCCTGCAGCGTGGGGACTTCTGTTCAGCGGCCTCGCGGCCGCCCTGGTGTCCCCGGCCGCCCCAGCACCCGCAGGTCTGCTAAGGGCCTGCCGTGTCAGCTTTGCCTTTCCTGCGCGGCGCAGTACAGTGTCCTGACATCTCTCTCTCCCCGCCATGCTAGCATTTGACGTTCAATTCTTGCAGGGCATCCATCAAGTTTAAGTCATAGTCCAGTTCTAGACTGGTTCTGAAAATGGCCAGGCAGAGGTTTTGGCGTTTCCCACCTGAGCCACCGCAGCCCTGTCCGGGTAAGAGAGGGCCACCTGGGACGCAGCCACTGGCACTTTGAGAAACAAAAACAAAGACCCCAAACTTAAAAACAAATTGAGAAATGCCCTCAAATCTTCACGAGTTTTCTATCCCAAGGTCAAAGATGTCAGTGGGTAGTGACTGCCTGTTTCTGTGAAAAGGCGCCCACGCGCAAAGCTGACCCAGCGGCCGGCTGGGCCAGGTCCCAGGCCGCGCAGGGCAGACGGCCCGGGACGGCTCCCACCTTCCGCCCGTCCGGCGGGAGCGCGCCCTGTCGGTGCCCCCGCAGCCCCGCCCCGCCCCGCCCGCCTCCGGGCCTGGACGGGCGGTGCCCCACGCAGGCGCACTGAGGCGGGCAGGGGTGGGGGGCCGGGGCGGGGCAGGCGGCGCGGGTGTTTCCGTTGCCTGGAGCCGGCCCCGAGCAGCCGTCGAGCCCTCCTCCCGCTGCATCCCTGCCTCGCGGCCCGCGCCCCTCGCTGCACTCCGCTGCGCCCCTGCCGGCTCTGGCCCTCGATCCCTCTGTCTGGTGAGTGCGCCCTGGCCCGAGAAGGGCCCCCGCAGCGGGCTCGGCCGAGCGCAGTCCCCAGCCGCGGGGAGGGCGGGTCCCAGCACCGCAGCCGCCGCGGGGTCCGGTCGGTCCCGGCCTCAGCGCTGCCCCTTGTCTTGCAGGCCGCGTCCCTTCCCCGGAGCTGAGCAGTCGCCATGGCACAGGTAAGGCCGCGCGCCCCCGTTTACCAACTTTGTCAGCTGCGTCAAGGGACTTCGAGAGCCTGTCTGAAAGCCGACGAAGTTCAGGAGTAAAGGGAGTCCGCCTTCGGGAAAGGCGCGCCCGGCTCGCGTCTCCCGCCTCCCGCCCTGTCCCGCTCCCTCCCGCCGCGTATCCCCGACCGGCTCCGGCCGGTGCCGGTGACGTGGCAGGGCTTTTGCGCTCTGCCTTTCTCCACTGAACGTGTGGAAGGGCGCCCTCCCCCCAAACCCGGAGAGCGCTAAAATTAGAGCCAGAGGAGGAACGGCTCGGTCATGTGCCGCGAACGCATTTTTCCCGTTTCCGTGGTTTTTTTCCGCCAAGCGTCCCGGCCTTAATACTGTGGGTGGGCGTTGGCCTTTTCCCTGCTGAGCCAGGAGCGCAGCTTTTCGCAGTTGCTCAACCCACTTTTACTAAAAGGAACTGTTCCTTCGGTCTGCGCTGATTTTTTTTTTTTTTTAATATGCAAAACGTTAAACAGAAGATCTGCCTTTCTTAAGTGATGAACTCGCGGAACGGGTTCTGAATTGATTTTGTCTTGGTTCTGTTTCAGAACTGGATGACCTAATGCTGGCTTTCTTTGCTGTTCTTAACGTGTATCAAAAATGTGGGAAAGATAAGCGTTCGATATGTATGGCAGTCATTAAACATTGACCACACCATACGGTCTTCGGTCTTCGGTGAATGGAAAACACCACTCCTTACTGCCTCCACCCAAAACTAATTGCAGAGGCCTTATCGATCTAGAGGGCTTGTCAGCCTTCAGATCACTTTTTTAAACAAGTGTTTTAAGTACCCAAACAATGCCCTTTCTCATTTAGAGTTCTTCCTTTATTTTTAAATCAGATTGGCTCACCGAAATCGAATAGGGTTTCCTGGTCCTTTCCAAGAGAAAATGGGAGGGTTAAGATGAGTTGGCAGCTCTGTTATATTTATACAGGGCTCCTTTCTTGCTTCCTCTTTTGCACTTTAGAAATATTACAATAAACCGATGCTCATGTTACTTCCAGTGGAAACTTTGGTTTAGGCTCTTCCCCATGTAAAGGATACATGCAGGTGGCATTAACTTCCCTCGGAATTACTTTTCCCATCGTAATAGGCTGCTGTGCTGATGTAGAGGTGACTTCGCAAGGTGCAGCGACCCCCCTTTCTCCTCGCTCATTTGGCTGTTTCTCGAATCTCTCTTGTACATTCACCCAGTGATGTCTGACTTTTTCAATCAGCTCCTGCTAATTATGTGGGTGCTTTGCCGAGAGAGCGAGCGTGGAGGAGCCCAGTTTCCAGCTGCTTTCATGAATAACTTCAAAGAATGGAAATCGTGGAAAGGCCCTCAGATACGCATGGGGGGGCGGGGGGGGGGAGAACAGCGGCTTGTGTTATAAGGTTACATGTGTGATTTCTATCGCAAGAGCACACCAGGGCCGCTTTCAATCAAAACCACAGTTTTAGGTTACTGTGGACGTTACAAGTGCTGCTAAAGATCCAGCACTGAGTTTGCACTGGCTTTGTTATTTGTTATCCTTGGAAGCCATTCACGTAAAACATGGTGTTGAAGCAGTCAGCATGGAGAGGGGGTTTTGTAATTACACTCACATGGTCTGCGGAAGGCCCGCATCCTGGACTCGCACTCTTACCGTCTAGGGTTTCCCTCGGACCCCGGTGTCCTGGGACGGAAGCCTCAGGGTCAGGTTTCGCCGTGTTAGGTTCTATGGCGTCACCTCTTGTTGACCTGTGGGTGTGGGGACCGGAGGCCTCCACTCTGGCCATCTGTGGGCTCACGGCATCAGATGCCTGAGTCTTGGAGGTGCACATATTGGCAGATTAAATTGTATTATTAAAAATGCATGTCTTGTTTATCGAACAGTTAGAATGTAGCCCCCTGCAGCGGCCCTTCTCCGTGTTCTCGAAATGCCTCCCGCTGGCTTCTCTCTGTCCGTGGCTGGGGGCCTCCTGCCGCGCCCCCGGGGGCGTCCCGCCTCACTTGTTGGCAGGAGCCGACTTTGTTTCATAGACAGTCGCACATATTCTGTTTGAGTAATTAACAATGCAGCCTGCCCTCTTGGTTTGGGGGAATCAAGATTTGGCTGTATTTCATAGGCGAATGAGCCATTTAACACATTTTCCTTCAGTATAAGGCTTTTATAGCTTTATTTTTCTTTGACGTAATGAAACTATTATATTGGGGCCGTCTGAACGTAGTTTCGTTTATAAGGCTTTTTAGAAAGAGTTACTATATTCAGGGCAGCGGGAGTGTTACAAAGGCAAAATCAGACTACAGATTTTTCACTAGAAACTTCAAGAATATCAGAGTTATCTCTCTGGTATGTGGTAAAACTGTACAAGGCTGGATGAGGAAAATTTGGGGCTGGTTTGCAGTCCTGGGCTGAGAACTGACGCAGGCCCGCAGGGTGGGTGCGAGGGGGTGAGAGGCAAGGCCGACCCCAGAGGAGGGGAGGGGGTGTGGGGCGCGTCTCTTCCTGCCGCTCACCTTAAGTCAGACCTCTGGGCAGGGACCAGCTGCCCCCCGGCCCCCCCCCGGCTCAGGGGTCAGGGGTGTGGGTGCTGTGTTGGGGCAGCTTCCCTCAGCTCCCGATTCCTTTGCCTCTTGTCTTTGGATGCTTAGAAAGAACTAGGTCCAGAGCGGCTTGGCGGCCTGGCCGGCCCTGCGGGGCTCACTGGCCTTCGGAAAGTCTTCCCGCCCTTCCCGGGGGCGGGTGCAGGCCGGTCCCCTGTGAGGAGGGAGGCTTCCCTTGTTCTGTGAGGGCCTTCGGGGCTTGACCTGGCAGGAATGTGACTATTTTGACACCGCAGATCCATTTCTGAATAAATTTTATTCATACAACCTGCATACTTTTCTGAAACTTCACAACACATCAGTTGATTTAAAAAAAAAAAAAAAAAGTAGTGCTCCTGAGACCTGTCTTTAAGTGTTTTTTGGACCCAGCCTTTACGTGTCTTTAAAGTCTGTGTATAAAAAGCAACCCTCCACTTGCTGTTTGGTTTAATTTTATCCATTTTATTTTGGCATACCTGGTCTTTGAAGGTAAAGAACTTCTTCATTTAGAGCAAGCAAACAACCCCAAAAAGCCAACAAAATCACAGAGCGGGGGCGTGGGTGGCCGTGAGGGTGAGTGAAAGGAAGGCCAGGCGTTGTCCCAGGCGACCTGGAGCTCCCTCGGAAAGGCCTGGGGTCCCAGGCGACCTGGAGCTCCCTCGGAAAGGCCTGGGGGCAGAGGGTGAGCCGCGCGGGGGCGGGGTGGGAGTGGGGGAGGGGGGCGGCTGGGGCCAGCAGGGCAGCGGGCCGGCCACAGGAAGGGGGAAGCCCTGGTCGGAGTCACTGCCTGCGCAGGGCGGACCTTTCTGCGTGGGCGGGACGGGGTGCGGGCAGGGTGTCCACAGAAGGGCCCTGCCCTCTGACTCATGTCTGTGAGTCACGTCTGTCCCCAAAACCATTACGGGCCTTTGCTGGCTTGGGCGGTGACTCTGATCGTATGGTGTGTAGCAAGTGTGCCCCGATTTCTAGAAAGCTCTCAGAAATGCAGCAAGCGGTCCTTCCTTCTTCCGAGTTGGCGGTGAGATTCTGGGGCCCCTTCTCTTCCCCCCACGTGCCCCCCGGGCTCCTTCACCTCCGGGTCACACGTCTCTTCTTCTTACTGCAAACCTCCGTTGTCGCCTCTCGTCCACCTCGCCCCTGCTTTTAACGTCTCCATGTGTGACTTCTTCACAGCCTCTAAACTGGATCAACTATTTTTAAATGTGTTTTTAAAAACAACAGGTCGTTTGTACCACGGGAGTTTTCCAGAGGTGCTCTGCGTCCGTTCACTGCTCGGCGTCCCTTAGTCCGGCCGCCGCCGCCCCAGGACCCAGTCACCAGCCCAGGGGCCCTGTCCTCCTGTGGTTTGGACGGGGGCCTCCTCCTGTCCCTCCGGCTGCACCTCGCTCCTCCGCTTCCATCCATCGCCCGCGCGTGTTTTCGTTGTGCTTTGGGGAGGCCACCTGGCGTTGCGGTCAGGGCCCCTGTCCCAGCTCGCCGATCCTGCCCCAGCACTGGCGACCCGCCAGCCCATCCCGGCCAGGGGTGTCCCCCCAGACCGTGCCTGTCCCAGCGCCCTGCTTGGCAGGTGTCCGCCGCGGCTCCCGCTGCAGGTGACCGGCCCTTCTCCCCTGGTTTCTGTCCCACCCTCTCGTCTCTGCCTTGGTGATGGCCTCGGCCTCCACTCCAGCTCCCGCCCACCGAGGGGCCGCGCGGTGGAGGAGGGCGAAAGCAGCTGTCCGCTCCCCCTGGCCCTCCCTGGCAGTGGCTCCCGCCCGCCGGGCCTCCTCCCCCTCCTGGGGTCGTTTCTGAACAGCCTTCCTGTCGCATGCACGGCCATTTTATTGTGCGCACTGCGGCCCAGGGAGAGCACTAGGCATTTGGCCCTGTTCTTCTGGCCTCGTGTCCCGTGAGGACAGGGTGGCCGGTGCCCCTCGGCCTGGCTCGCGGCCCTCCACGCCCCCACCCGGAGCCTCCCTGCTGCCGTGAAATGCCTGCCCCTTCGCCGTAGCGTTACCCTCTTCCCTGTTCTTATGCTTCCAAGATGCCTCCCTGCACCCTCTCCTTTCCCCAACCTGCCTGGCGACGCCACAGGCAGCCCTGAGGACATTTCTGGGAAGCTTTCCTGATGTCTTCCCCCTCTTCGCGCCTCCCGCCCGCCCCTGACTGCTCACGCCCCCTCCGGCCCCGAACCTCCGGGCGGCCCCGCGCGCTCTCCCTGTCCTCACACGGCTGCCGCGTCCTCTTGGCTTTCCCAGCCACGACTTCCCTCGCGGTTAGCGCAGTACTTGGCCCGTGGGGGGGCGTTCAGAAATGGTGGTTCGGTGAGTGAAGGAACAGACTGGCGAACCAAACCGTCCGCCCGTCCTGAGTCCTCACGCCGAGAGGACTCCCGGTGACTGCCCCCGTGCGTGACGACAGGGATGGCGTCCTCGGGGTGAGCTGACGTGGTCCCACTAAGCGGGGCCGCTGCGCTTCGGCCCGAGACACACGACCTTCCCGGCGCCTGCCTGCCCGCCCATTCTCGTGGGCCATCCGCGCAGACCCCAGCGGCTCACTCCCCACGCTCTGCCCCTCTGACCACGTTGGACAGTCCGTATTTGCCCGTCTCCTGCCGCCCCAGGTCACGGGGCTCCAGCCGTCGAGCCCGTGGAGGGGGCCTGCTGTTCCTCGTGCGTCTGGGCTCTCCTGACGGCCTGGCAGCGGCGTGAGCCGTAGTCCCACGGCCTCCCCAGGGAGATAAGAGGAACGGGCACCACCACCCCGCCCCCACTGCCGGGCACAGTCCTCTTTCGCTCAGGGACAGAGCCAGTGGGAGCGGCCACCCATCGCCAGCACCCTGGGGCTGGCGGTCACCCGGGAAACAGCCCTCGTCTCTTGGGTTGTGTTCTTTCGGCCTCCTGAGGACAGAACGAAGGATCCCCTGTAGGTTCTCAGCATGACGCTGCTGCCAGAGGAGGGAAGAGGGATCTTCCTTCCTTCCTTGAACAAGAGGACAGACTACTAATAAAGGAAACGCGATTCTGGCATTTGTTCACGTGGCAAGAATGACGTGATTCAAGGCGATGGCAGTACAGCGGACAGACTGGGTTCAAGCCCGAATACAGCAAGGCCCCTGCGGGTGTGGAGCCAGGGAGCAGGGCAGGGTCTGGGCTTGGGAACCTCCTAGGACGGGACATCCAGGGTGGGGGAGGAGGTCTTGCTGAGGGGACCTGTCGGTCTCCTGCTGGGGGCTGACCCTGCGCCGTGCCGGGTTGGGGGCGCGAGCCGGCGGCAGTCCAGCTGCGACCGGGGCGGGGGGGCCAGACCGTGTCCCGCGGGGGCTCGGGGGCCGCCCCAAGCTCGGCCAAGGAGAGAGTCTGTCTGCTGGATCCGTGTGCACGCAGGTGGCGGAATTCAGCCCGCAGGGGAGAGACGGCTGCTGGGCCGGCCTTCGGCGCCGGGTCCGTGCGAAGTCCCCACGGCTCACTCTCCCCTCGTCTTTTCTTTCGTGGTGGGATGTTGCGGCAGGTGCTGCCACTGGACGTTGAGTTCGAAGAGAACGTCTCTCCCTGTAGGTGATCCTGATCCCATTCTCAATACCACGGGGCGACCGCACACCTGGCAGGCGGTCTCACGCCGCGGTCTCGGAGGGAGCCTTAGCGGGGGTGTCAAGGGGCTTTGAAAACATTTATTGGCAAAAGTTAAGGCTGGGAGCCTCCCCCGTCCTGAGATAAATGCCTGACTCCGTATCAGGAAGGCCTTGTTATGCTAAAGATCTAATGGTAGGACAAGCATTGAAAGCACTGATGATTGGAAGTACTAAGTACGTGATACAGCGCTGGGAGCCGGAAGCCTGGCAGAGAGCCTCTTCCCGCAGACTCTCGCAGGGCGCTCCGTTCAAAGGCTGGGCTCTGCCGGCAGGTGCGTTGCCACATAGCTTTCCAGGCCTTGCCAGGTGACCTTACAGTCCCGGCTGTGTGACCGGGGGCAGGGCCGGAAGCACAGCATGTGACGAGTGCTGCGGAGAGCGGAGGGCCCGGGCTGGGGATGGGGGGTGAGGCGTCCGGGAGGGAGTCCGGAGGTGCCGGGCTTCACCCCAGGGCCAGGACCGAGGGGGGAGGCCCTCGGAGCTGCCGCCCCCCCTCCCGGGGCCCGTGGGCACCGCACGCACCCGCAGCCCACGCACTGGTGGGCGCTGCTGGTCCGCACCATGGGCGGCCCACTTCAGAGACGGCCGCACAGCGCAGGCAGCCGGTCAGGAGCGTCCAGGGGCACCCGAGAGGGAGCGGCGGCTCGCTGTTTCTGTCACACGCTCTGCCGGGTCGGCCTTGCTGTGAGTGACGTCCATTTCCCGCCGCAGGTCCCCAGAGGCACCGTGACCGCCTACCCCGGATTCGATGAGCGGGCCGACGCCGAAGCCCTCCGGAAGGCCATGAAGGGCCTGGGTAAACGGGCCTCCCCGGGGTCTGGAAACGGGGACGCATGTCTTTCCAAACGCAGCGCCATCGACTCGCGGTGGGGTTCATTGGAGGGCATGCTGGTCTGTGCGGGGGGGGGGGGGGTGCACACTGAGATATGACAAAGGGACAGGCCCGGCCGACCGTGGCAGTCGGTGTCACGGCAGGCAGCCGTCCGCTCTGCCTGGGCGGCAGGTGACGGAGGACAGGCAGGCGCGGACGTCCCGAGAGCTGGCCCTCTGCTGCTCTCCGCCGTCCGCGCCCAAGCACCCCCGCCTCTCGCCCCCTCATGGTCCTGCGCCTGCCCTGCTGCCCGGGCCCCCTTCCCAGCCCCTCGGAAACCTCCCTGTGCGCGGACTTCCGCGCACACGGACCCCGTCCTCGGGCCCCTGCGCCAGGACCCCTGCGTGGGACGCCCCTCTCGCGAGGGCTCCGCGCGGAGCTCGTGAGCAGCAGCCCCCGGCCTGGCGAGGCCGTCGGGGGCGCCCCGCCGCCCTGGCACCCCCCGCGCTGTGATCTCTGAGCCAGTGCTCCTTTATCTGCCCTTCCAGAAAGCCCTGCCTTCTCTTCCTGCTCATAAAAGCCTGTCCTCCTCCCTCCTGTCACTGCCTGTCAAGTCCTTCTGTCCTTCAAGACGGGCGCCGCCTTCTCCATGAAGCTCTTCCCAGACCCCCTTCCACTTCCTGTCACTCAGGGAGTCCCCGGACCACCTGGGTGACCTCCCCAGGCCCTGACACGTCTGCCGTAGCTCATGGTTGGTGGTGGGTGTCTGTGTTTTTCCCCAAATCTCCTGTAACCTGAAGCCAGGGTCTCCACCTTTGCCCCCTCTCAGTCCCCCACACTTCGGGCCGTGTGGGAAGCCGTTGTCCGAGCAACCGTTTGTTGCAAGAAAAAGTGCGTGCCCTCCAATTCTTAGAAGTCAGGAGTATTTTCCCACCTGTTCCGCTGCGTGGCAGGAATGGGGGTGGGACCTACTGGCAAACGCCACTGGACGTGTTGCGAATTTTCTAGTTTAATCTGTCACGTAACACGCCATGCTTTACGGGGTAAGGAGTGGAAGGCGCCGGCTGCAGAGGCTGTGGGCGGGGGGCGTGTAGGAGCCCAGAAGTGACTGGGGACCCTCCCCCGCAGGCACCGATGAGGAGACCATCCTGACCCTGCTGACCTCCCGCAGCAACGCACAGCGCCAGGAAATCGTCGGTGCCTTCAAGACGCTGTTCGGCAGGGTAAGCAGGCCCCTCCCTGGCGCGCTGCGGGCAGCCGGGCTTTGGAGGGGAGTTTGAAGTGGGCTCATGGCTTGTAGCAGACTTCGTGTAGTTAACGATCCCGACTTCCCCCTCCTGCTGTGCTGTCTCCCAGGTGCCTAACTATCGGCTGTCGGCACACAGCGCATGCCCGCTTGCCCCGCACACACCGGTGCTTCCCTCGTGTGGCGCGGCAGAGGGCCGCCCCTCCTCTGTGCCTCCCTCAGGGCTATTCCAGCGTCTGTTCCAGGCTGTCAGCCTGGAGCACGGTGTGTTTGGTCTGATGCAGTGTGATATTTTAGTAAATGAATTTTAAATTCAAAGATTGAAGTGCTCTTATCCAGATTACAATTCCAAGTAAAAAGTAAATTTGTTACTAAATGAATGAGTGCCTACATGAAAAATGTACAGGACATTTTATTCTGAAAATTTTCATTCATTTCTTGGAAAAACAAATGCAAACCAGAAAAAAAAAAAAAAGAGGAGGAAGGCACTATAAACGCAGTCTCTAGTGCAGGGCGCTCACGCTGCCGGGGGTGGGAACCCGCTCCCCCTTTTGTCATTGGGGGGCCAGTCTCCCTGGGGCCTGCAGCAGAGAGAGCGTGTCTGTCCCACGGAGAGACAAGGCAGCGCTGCTGGGGAAGGCAGGGCAGCCAGGCTCTGTCCTCCGCAGAAATGCATTTATGATATTTTTTTAGGGGGGGGGAATTCACATGCTCTTCAGAACAGTATTTTTAAAATAGATTTTTTCAGCATAAAGTGCTGGGAAAAAGCATACTTTTTACTCTTTTTTTCCTTATGAATATTGAGTTTTTATTTCATCATTATAACTGCTATGACCTTAAAATTCATGTTACCTATTTTGTAACATACATTGGAACCTCAGTCTCCAAGGTGGTTTACACAAATGCTGACAATAGGAAATTGGGTAGATTCTTTTTTTTTTAAATATACTTTTTACTCTTGAAGTAAGAAAAACATCCCTTGGTAACAGTGGCCTTGACACGCACGTGACTTGGCTTTTCCTTGCACACTCGGCCTGGGCCGGGCCGAGCCGGAAGCCGCGGGCGGGGTCATCCGCGTGGGCCTCCCTGGTCCCGGCGGGGGCCGCGGGCGGAGCCCCTCGGAGCAGAGGCCCTGGCCCCCGAGGGAGGGAAGCGCCTGCAGGGTGCCCGGCTGACCCACCGGTGCTTCCGTGGGCCAGGACCTCCTGGACGACCTGAAGTCGGAGCTGACCGGCAAGTTCGAGAAGCTGATCGTGGCGCTGATGAAGCCGTCCTGGCTGTACGACGCCTACGAGCTGAAGCACGCGCTGAAGGTAAGCGGCTGCAAGGGCGCTGCTCAGGGGCGGCGCGGGCCTGCGTCGCTGGGCGCGCCGCCCTCTTTTTTATATTAGAAATATTTGAGTTATTACTGTCGGGGTTTCTTGGAGAACAAAACTGGAGGAGGCAGTGAGAAGAAAAGGAGAGAAAAATCACAAGTGTGTCGTTTAGTCCTAATGGTGTAGTTAACTCAGTAATAGTGGCTATTTACATTTTTAGTAATTTTTATAGCCTTTTACAGTTTATTCTCACGCCTGTTTTTACAATATCACAGATGAGGTGTTTTATCATTTGAAATAGAAAGTTGGCTGATTGGGTAACAATCGCTTCGTTAATCATTACAGGTTAAAAAAGTAAAGCTTCAGAGAATTTTCAGATAAGGAAGGTGTGAACCCTTTCCTAGAAGTAGCTGGTAAACTTGGTACAGTTACATTGTAGCAGGTAACCTGACAGGCGCTGGGAATGCTGTGCCCCCGCCAGCCCAGGGAAATGCTGGTTTGACTTAGGGGGCAGGAAGCTAAAAAGGGGACAGACGGAGCATCAGTGAGTTCGGCGGCTCCTCTCCGGAGCCTCCTCGGGAGCGGGCGGGGGAGGAGCGTCTGCTCCTGCTCCTTTTCCTGTAGCGACTGTGTTGGAGCAAACCGACCCAAGGTCGTCGGGAAAGGGCATCTTTGTGGAGTGCTGCCGAAATGCTCACAGCAGCTGCAGTTCTGGCCGAGCAAAGATCTAGGTCTTTCAAGTGCTTGATCTTCGCTCAAGAAAGAGAAACATGAAGAGAATGATGCTTAAATATTCTCTCTCTTAAAATTAAGTTGGGCTACGTCATTGCCTGTATCTTCTGATTTACCCGGGTCGGTATGACTTTCGTAATCAGGAAAAGGAAAACTGAGAAAAGGTATTTTCCAGAAACCCGGAAAGCAAGTCCCAACCCAATCCGCCCAGCGACCGCCGGGCAGAGCCTCGCTGGGGTCCCCGAGGGCTCAGGCCGGGCGGGGCTTGTGCCGGGGTCGCGGGTTGTCCAAGTGTTGGTGCTGCTCCCTGCACACGCGGGCAAAGCTGCACCTTCACTTTTTCAGTCTGTTTATTATTTCATGGTTCATTAAAATGCTTTACTTTTAAACTATTTAGAATTAAACTGATAAAATCACAAACTGGCACAATCTGTTACGTTTCCATGTGCACACTTAACAATGTTGGGTGCTTATGTGATTCTGCCATCTGGGTAACGTCTGTTCTAGGAAAATCACTTTCTCCTTAACCTTATTGACCCTTTTTTTTCTATTAAAAATGAACCTCCACACAGGGAGCAGGGACAGACGAGAAAGTGCTGACAGAAATCATCGCCTCCAGGACCCCGGAAGAACTGACCGCCATAAAGAAGGTTTATGAAGAAGGTACAGGGTTCGAGCTGTGTTTCTCCCGTGCCCGCTAGGGCGAGGGCAGGTCCGTGGTCCCCGGGGGCGTGTAGGGGGACGAGGGGGCCGGAGCCCAGCGCCCCCTCCTGCTGGGGGAGGCCGCCGCCCCTCGCCCGGAGCGCGGCCCATGCTGGCAGCAGCCTCGGGCGAAGGGGCCGTTTCCTTTTAAGCAGGATATGCCGCTGGCAGGGATGCACGGGTGGTCTTTCTGTTACATTCACTTTACGATGTAAGTGGCTCTGCTTCTCTATGCAAATTCCGTGTTATGTTAGCGAAGTTGAACAGACACTGTTAGCAAATACGGTCTCGGGTGGGAAGAGCGCTGCCCCGACGAGAGCTGCGTGGCCGCCGTGAACGCCCCCTGGCAGGCGGCGGCCGGCCGCTGGTTTTCGGGCTTCCGTCCCAGGCGCCTGCCTTATCAGCGGGAAAGGCGGCCTCCCCGCCTGAAGCATGCTCTGTGGACGCGACCGAGGCAGGGAAATTAAAAGCGGAGGAAGTGGCGGGTTCTTGCCTCTTCAGGTTTCCTGTCGCAGGCTCTTTCCAGCCTGACCGAGGGGGACCAGGTCGGCCCCCTGGGGGACCCCAGCCCCTGCCTGGAGCCCGGAACACAGCGGGCCCGCCCTCGGCCCGCCTTCGTTACCCTGCGACGCGCCGGGGCCGCGAGTCCGACCAGCGAGCAATGGGCAGCCACTCGGTGGCGCCCTTTCCAAGCACCGTCCTGCCTCCTACGCCCCCTTCCAGGGGGGACGGCCTGGCGGTGAGGCGCGTGTCCGTCATGTCTGATGCAGCGGTCAGACACCCGTTTGGACACTGGGGCGGGAGCCCGTGTGCCGCCCCACGTGACACCCGGGGCCCCACGAGGGCACGGTGCCCGCGGGGCCGCCCACGCCCCGCTCGGCCGCGTCGCGGGGCCCGGGTTGTTGTGGGCGACACAGACCCGCACGGTGCACAGTTCCTGTCCTCGGGGCGGTCGCGGCCTGTTGAGGGGCGACACAACCCAGCAAGCGGCACCTGGGTAGCCACACTCAGACCCGAGTCAAATGCCCTGAATGGGCAGTGCAAGGACCCATTTAGCCGAGGCCGTGGTGCCGGGGGGCCTCGGGGTGCGGCCAGGCCGAGCGCATTTCCGCGCCTGGGGCGCCAGGCAGGTGGAGGGGGAAGGCGGTCCTGGCCCCCGCTGTCACAGCGCCGTGGACACTGGCCCGCAGAGAGCATGTCCGGGGCCAGAGCCTGGCCGTGCGCAGGGAACGCACGTGTCCTGGGGGGTAAACCGAGGCGGCGTGGCCCGGCTGCTGCAGGAGGTGTCGGGGGCCGGGTCGGGAGTGGGCCTGGCTCAGGCACAGCGGGTTCCCGGGGGCGCGGAGCTGGCCCTGGGAAGCTGCCGCGTTAAACAGGTGCTAGGTCTCTCGGACCTTTTGCAATAGAAGTTTCAGGCCTTTGAGCTTTGCCTGCGGTCCAGGGGTGCTGGGGCGTCCAGCGCCGTGGTGTGGGGAGCACCGCCGCCCCTCAGTGGCGGCTGCCCCGGTGCGGGTGGCCGGGGGGGCTCCCATGGGCCCTTGTTCTGCAGCTGGGCGTCGTGCTGGGGAGGGGCACGTTTTAAAAAATGTCACTGATCTCTCTCAGAGTTAAATTTATTTGCTGTAGAGGAAAAATGTCTTAGCACAAGGAAAGGCCATGCCCAGAGGAAGAAAACTCAGACTACTAGAGCAGCAATTTTCAAGGATTTTTAAAACATGCTGCGTTAACATACATGTGGGGCCTGCGTAAAACACTGGTTAGTCAGGGGCGCTGACCTCCTTTCCCTTAGACGGTCAGATAAAAAATGACAACAGCCAGCACAACAATAGCCGTCCACTGTGAATGAGTCAAAACTGTGCCTATTCTTTTCTCAGGCTGGCAAAATGTGTATTTTTTGGTTTGCTGCGGAATTTTAGCTGTTCGTTTACACGGGCCGTGAGCTGACAAAGGGTAACAGTCGCTGTGTCAGAGGATGTGGACCTTTAAGGCTAATGTCAACGCCTTGAAAGAAGGCAGAGTGAGGTTCAGCTTGGGATCGATTGCATCGTGGAGGTTTCTAGGGCCTTCCGTGTCTACAGATCCACAAGCCCGTCGGCTGAGAGCACCTCTGAGTGGCTGAGTCACGACCCAGGCATGAGCCGAGCGCCGCGGGGGACCCGGAGCCTGCTTTCGGCGGGCCACGCACTTAGGGCGTTTGCTTTCAGTCTCCAGGGCACTCCGAGCAGCGGAGAGAGAATGTATGCTGACCACGGCCTCCTCCCGGGCGTCTGGGCCCTTCGGGGAGGGGGCCGGGCGGTGCCCGGGGCTGAGAGCAGCCCGGGTGAGCCTGGCCTTGTTGCGTTGCAGAGTACGGCTCCAGCCTGGAGGACGACGTGGTGGGGGACACCTCGGGCTACTACCAGAGGATGCTGGTGGTTCTGCTTCAGGTACGGGGCGCGGCCTGTTTGCGTTCTGAGGGCAGAGTCTAAAGCTGGGCTGGCCTGAATCCAGCTCAGTGAGGTCGCCTAGAATTCCTTCAGTCGCTTCGGGTGCTTGCTTGATTCTAGCCGCGTGGTGTCCGCGCACGCGTGCACCCGTGTGTAAGATCTGACCGGAGCTCTTAATAGCACACTCATAGCTTTTGGGGATATCGCTGTCCTCTTTACTTACAGACGTCGAAGCCGAGAGGGGCGGGTTGGCCCTGGACAGGGCTGTGTGATGGTGTGAGATATGGTAGGGACTGACAGGCCCTGTATGAAAGCACATTGTTCCTGAGGAAAACAGCTCCGCGCGCGGCCCTGGGGTGGCGCCCGGCTGCTGTTGCCGGCTGCGCTGCTGTAGGTCGGGGACACGACGCCTTCTGTCTTCCAGGCCAGCAGAGACCCTGACTCCGGGATCAACGAGGCGCAGGTTGAGCAGGACGCTCAGGTGAGTGAGACCGAGTAGGGGGAGGCCGTGTTGTGACCTACGCATGAGAAAACAAATCCGTGCTCAGGAAACGTCGTCTTGTCGGGTTGTGATGGCGTCTAAACTGACCCTACAAAGGGTAAGGGCCGCGGGAGGAAGCACCGTGTCGCGCCCTGTGAGATGTGCACCCACGTTTTTGTGCGCATTATACACGGGGTGATTATGCTTGTTGTTATTCCCATGGCATGTGATCGTTATACCCATGTATAATGCACGTCCTTATTTTTCCCTCAAAACTTGGGGCAAAAAAGCGCTCATTATACACGGCAAAATACAGTACATTTCTCTCATTTTGGTGTAGCCAACAAAATAATTTTATCTGAAAGCTGAAATGAAATAAATTACATGTAAATAGGGAGTTCCACCTCGGTGCGCTGCTTCTCTGGGATGATGGAGCACGCAGAGCAGACGGACAGACAAGCAATGCCCCGCAGCTGTTACCGACCCCAAGGCGGCGGCGGGCCTCTGAGCAGCAGAGGATGAAGGAGAATTGTAGGGATAAACGGCCCTTTATCCTACAGCAGATGACAAGTGACTGTAGGTCCGGAAGCGCCGCCGCCTCTCCTTCGATGGCGTCCTAAGTGGGCCTGCCCTCCGGTCACGGACCTTTAGTGGCTCCCCAGTGAAGCCTGCGCTGCAGCGTGTTTGGTCCCCTGTCACTGCCGTCTCGCTAGCGGGAGTGTGAGATTTCTGAGTTGAGAGCAGTCCGCCAGCGAAAGGGCCCTTCCATAAGCTTTTGGCGAGTTTCCCAGCTGAGACCCGGCCGTGGGGGCGTCCCTGTTGTCCTGGTGCCTGAGGAGCCCCGGCGCCTGGGAGCTGAACGTGCTCTACTTCCCATCGTCTGTGTGTGTGACCCTGGCCCTGCCTCTCCTGGCTGCCCCGGCGGTGTCTTCTCTGGGGGACAGGGGTAGGGGGGGGGGGGAGTGGGGGAGGGAGCCCGTGCTTGCTGAGCACCTGAGGTGGCCGCCTGGAGGCCACTGTGCTGACGTGAGTTACAGAGTTTCTGTCTGTGGCAACATGGAAACACTGTTGCTCCCCTGCAGGCAGGGACTCCCTGCTCCAGGCTCAGGAGGGCTGGGCACTTCCTCCCTCTGAGGCTCACGGATAAGGACTGGGGCCCAGTCTTTCTGGCGCCGAAACCTCTGCACTTTGCCCTGAACCAGAGCTCACCAACCCGTGCTCAGGCCGACCGTGAAGCCCCCTGTGGGGGAGGGGCGGGGAGGAGGTGTGAGGGCCCCCAGGCAGACAGCCCACGGGCACCGGCGCCCTCAGGTGGAAGGAAGGCCCCTCACGCTAAGGCCGGACAAGACGGAGCTTTTCAGTACCTTTGCTGCCATTACTATTGCACACGATTGACGGAGCAGTAGCTTTGGAGGGGACATCGATCCTAAACACAGTTCCTCCAAGAAAATTAGGAGATTGTAGTTAAAATGCCATTTCACTGATTATTCCCATGCAACAGGTGTCACTGCTGTACCGACGAGAGAAAGTTCTAGAAACAGTTGGGAAGGAGTGCTCCCCAGGGCCAGCAGTGCTGTTTGGGACGCCCGCCCTTGGGTGTTCCGGAATGCATAGCCTCTCTGTGTGCAGAGAGCATAGTTTCTTTAGGACCTTGGTATTGGTGCTAATTTTTATTTCATTTATGTTTTCCTGAGTCTTACAAATGTTTCAATGAACGTGCGTTACTTTTGTAATGAGATTTAAAGGGCCACTTAGGAGCGGTCTAGAACACCATGCGCTTAAGCTCCTTGCAGGTTCTAGAGGAACTTTCCGGTTTTGAACCGAATGCTCATATGACCAGGATTGGTGTCCTTTATTTTTACCATTAAATTAATTTCAAAATCGAGTGTAAAGTTGTAACTCTTTTTTTTTTTTTTTCCATTCTCTGGAACTAAAAACGGGCCCGGGACCGCGGCATTCCGTCCCCCTGAGCCCGCGGGGATTGCGGCTGCCGCAGTGCACCTGTACCGGGCCGCCGCCGCCCCGGTGGGCGGCCGCGTGGGGGTGGCCGGGGCTCCGAGCCGCAGCCCCTGCAGACTGCGCCCGGCTCGGCTCCATGGCTGCCTTAACCTTGACATCGGCATGGGAGAGGGTAGCGTAGAGATTTAAAGACGGCTTCTCTGGGTTTTAGTACGTTATCCGCATCTCAGTACGTGGACCCCAACTTGATGATGATGTTTGTATGTAATTTTACTTTTTAGTTACATGGGTACTGGGAAGCACACGTTCTTTCCATGTAAAAAAGGAAACGTGGAACTCGAACTGTTCAACAAGCACCTGTGAAGTGCCTGTCAGGTGCCACGCGCGGCGCTCTGCCCGCAGCCTTTAACTGTTCGCCGTGACCTTTCAGAAAAGGGAGGGCGGTTTGTACGAGCTCTGGTCAGCTTCGCGTGTAGACAGGAGGAAGGGGGTTCCCTTCTGTCAGGTGTACGGAACAGCCACAGGCCGGCAGAGCAGGAGAGGCCGACAGCTTAGCTGCCGGTCAGGTCCTGCCCCGTCCCTGAGGGGCGCCCGAGGCTTTCCGCACCCCGTCCTTGCTCCGGAGAGACCGGAGTCATGGCCGACCCTCTGGGGACATGCGCCCGGCGCCAGTGCCATGCCTTAGGCTTTGGCCCGCCCGTCTCCGGGGCGCAGTGCGGTGGCGCGCTCCGAAGCAGCCCCGGACTGGGCTCCCGGGTCTCAGGCCGGGAATCGTTAGAACCAGAGGGTCACGTGATGGGTCAGGCAAACCAGCCCTCAGGGAGTACGAGCCGCGTGGGACGCAGACTCTGGAGAGGAGGAGAAAGAGCGGTTTGCTCACTGGTTGGAATCTTCCCAGGTGTTGTTTCAGGCTGGAGAACTTAAGTGGGGGACGGACGAAGAGAAGTTTATCACCATCCTCGGGACGCGGAGCGTGTCTCACTTGCGCAGGGGTGAGTGAAACAACTGTGCGAGGCGGACACTTGGTTCATTTCTGCAGTGCAGAAGCCAGCTCCGTCTGCGCAGCAGGCACTTACAGGATGGGCCGGATTTTGTGTTTCTTCTTTTCGGTGGCCTTGGGGAATCTTACAGTTTTCTTCACTGCTGTTGCAGCTTTTTCAAATTAGAGATCCTTGGTCTGCCCGTGGCTGGGGGAGGGAGAGGGAGAGGCTTCTAGGCTGCCACCCCAGCCACAGCCGCCGAGCGGTGGCTCGCTAGAAGCGCTTCCATCTGGAGAGCGGTAACCAGAGCCTCATCTCTGGATGTTCATCAGTAGGTATCGTATCAGGCTGGAATGAGTTCCGTGGCCAGTGACAGAAAACCCTGCTGATAGTGGCTTTAAAAACTGGGCTTTCTGCCTGGCTGGAGTGGCTCAGTGGATTGAGTACCGGCCTGTGAACCAAGAGGTCGCTGGTTCGATTTCCAGTCAGGGCACCGGCCTGGGTTGCGGGCCAGGTCCCCAGTAGGGGGCGCACGAGAGGCAACCGATACACATCGATGACTCTTTCCCTCCCTTGCTCCTTTCCCCTCTCTCTGGAAATAAATAAATACAATCTAAAAAAAAAAAAAAAAAAAAAAAAAAGCAACACCTTGGCTTTCTGTAGTCGGCTCCTTGGCTAATTTGGCAGGACCTGGGCTCTTTCTGTCCTGCTCCACTGTCCTTCGTGTTTCAGTGCCTCATTGTCACAAGGTGGCTGCTGTAGCCCCAACCACATCAACCGTTTCCACAGCAAGCAGAAAGGTAAACAAGTCACACGTATGACTTCTAGTCAGGAGAGAGAGAGATTTCTCAGAATCCTTTCCTGGAGATTTACTTTTAGGTCCCATTGGTTTTAACTAGTATGGAGGGGCTGAGAAATCCGTGAACAAAACATTTATAATCAAGTTTTTAGGGCTTGGCACACCGAGGCTCTGACCAAAATCATAGATTTGTGTTTGGTAAGACAGTACCTGGTTAGGGTAAATATATTCTCTCTGGGAGGAGTGATCCTTGTGTAATTAAATCATTTTCTGTTCTGCAGTGTTTGACAAATACATGACTATATCAGGATTTCAAATTGAGGAAACCATTGACCGAGAGACCTCTGGTAATTTGGAGCAACTCCTCCTTGCTGTTGGTAGGTAATTGGACAATGTATACAATGTTTATGGTATTAAGAGCTGAATAAAGCATTTTATTCCACTTGAGCTGTGTCTGAAAATAACCACCTATTTCTTTGTGAAAAGAATGGTGAAGCACACTCCTAAATGCCCAATTTAGTGTCTGTTGTGACGTTGGAGACACCTGATTGTCTGGTTAGCTCACCTGTTCCTGTGGAGACACGGAGAGAGCCGTTCGGGAATCATTTCGGAGCAGCGTGCTGTTCCATGGCGAACCTGGCATGCGGGCTTTCGCCCCACAGGGGTCTGGTGTCCCTTTCGGCACCGCCCTGGCCACTCGGCGGCAGGCTGAGGGGCGGGCACCCGGCTCGGCTGTGTTGGGAGATGTGATGGTGGTCTCGGATTGAACAGTTTGGAATTTCATTTTAGCGAAAAGTTCAGAATAACCTGGAAGACTTGGAGAACCGAGGGTGTGCAGTTGGGTGTAGGGTCACGCACGCTCCAAACCCAGGGCCAGTCTAGCTGGTGAGTGCGCAGCGGCCCCGGCTTCCGTACGGTCTGGAGTGCACGTCTGTCTGCTGCTTGTTCCGAGCACTTGGCGCTGAGCTCCGGTCGCACCGTCTGTGTTCGGGGGAGTGAGCTAAGACACGCACGGACCCGCGCTGATGGCGTCTCCCCCAAGTCTGCAGCACGTGGGTTTCCATAGAAAGCTTTTGGTCTTGGTGATTAGAGTTCACTTTTAGTCACTGGTGGCTGTTTTTTTAAGCATTGGAAAGGAGAATACCCCTGCCCCCCGCCACTGAAGGATGGTTCTTTCTGCACAGTAAGGAATTTTTATACAGTAGTTTCTGGAGCTCAGCGGACCGAGGTCTGAGCAGCCCTCGCAATAGGCAGGCGCTTGCTGGGGGGTGTCCTCGCCTGCCGTCAGTTTACCCGGGTAAACTGTCTCTGGCGGGCACGTCTCATGCCGTTCTGCACGCATCACGGATGTCACAGAACACAGACAGAACAGCAGGGCACCGTCACAGGCCAGACAGAGCAGCAGCCTGGTCTTATTTGCTTGGCTGTATTGGAGTGAAACTTGGGCAACTTCTTGGGAAGGCAGGAGGTCGTGACGCAACAACCAAGGCTGCCACAGCCGCCGGAGGAAGCAGGTGCCGCAGGGCCGCATGGCCTCGGGGGCCCGCGCCCCCCCAGTACCCCCCCTCCCGCCGCATGCCCGCGGTGCGCACCGGTGGGCTCTGAGGGCAGCCCAGCCAGTGTCGCGGGCATCTGCCTGCCCGCCCCGGCCCCTCCCCAGCCGGCGCCTCACGCCGGGCCCGAGGGCAGCCCGAGGCAGCCTCGTCCCTCCGCACCAGCAGAGCGTCTGACGCGCTGTTGCTTCCCTTCCAGTGAAGTGCATCCGGAGCGTGCCCGCCTACCTCGCGGAGACCCTCTACTACGCCATGAAGGCAAGCGTGCCCCTGGGGCCTCTCCTCTGACTTGTCTGTCTCCCCCGTTACCATCTTCCCCCACGTGTGGCTCTGTTTTAGGTGATGGGCTTGGGGGTGCTATTTTTTCTTCTTAAAACATACTGTTCCAGTCTATTGAATTGTTTTACATGATTGATTCACCCCACCTCGGGCGTTCGGTGCTCTGCCATCTCTAAACAACGTGCCACCTCCTGTTCTTTCCCAAGGGCGCGGGGACCGACGACCACACCCTCATCCGCGTGGTCGTTTCCAGGAGCGAGATCGACCTGTTCAACATCAGGAAGGAGTTCCGGAAGAACTTCTCCACCTCCCTTTACTCCATGATCAAGGTGAGAGAGCCTCTCCCGCGCTCTGTTTGGAACAGATCTGCAGGCAGCCGGCGGGAGGCGCTGGACGAGCAGTTAGTTGTCAGGCTGTTTAAAGCTGGGGGGTGGGCGGGGAGCGTGGTGAGGAAGCCACGCTGGGCGAAGCTGCAGCCTGATGCACGGGGTTACAGCTGCGCAGCACACCTGCCCCTTCCCGCGGTGACAGCGTGGGTGCCCTTCCTTTCTTTCATCGGTGCCTGTTTTCTTTCATGTCTGTCTTCCTTTTCCTTGTCTGTTCTCGCCTTGTCTCTGGCTCCTAGTTCAGCAAAGAGCCAGCTGGTCAGAGCAGAAGCCAGCCAAGGGCGCGGCATCACCACGGTGTTTGCCCCCAGGACAGCAGGGGGCGCTGCGGCTCATGGTTATGCTTGGCTTCCGACCTTCCCTTCGCTTCCCCCTTCACCCTGTCCCCACGTCACCTCCTCTCTGCGCCCCACCGCCCGGTGATGAAGAGGGATGTGGGCTCTGTGCCCAGCAGCGTCACCAGCTGGGAACTTCCTGTGCGTGGGGTGGCCGGGCCAGGGGCCGTGCGCTCGCAGCCAGAAGCGTGGACATGTCACACACCTGTGTGTGAGCCCCGTGGAGGGACGGCATGGCCGCCCTCCGGTCTTGGAGGCCGCGCTGCACGACCAGGCAGTGTCGGCTTTGCCCCTTGGCCAGACCCGGGCTGCTGACCAGACCTCGAGTTGGCCCGGGAGGCCGGGTGTGATCACAGCCGTGGGAGCTCCCCTGTCCTCGGTGACACTGGGGGGAGGGTGCGCTTCTCTGTCTTAGACGGAGCTGCGCCTTCGAGGGCAGAGCCACGAAGTCGGACAGTTCGGGCGGCCCTGGAAACTCCCGCCTGGCGGGCCTAGGGTGACAGCCTCAGCGAGGTTGCCCGCTTGGAAGAGAAGGCACACGAACAGAGCCCCTTGCTCGCTGTTTCTTAGTTTTTATTCCTTGCGCCGTCTGGGAGCCGCGGAGGTAACGGAGAGCTTTTGGGTTTCAGGGGGACACGTCTGGGGACTATAAGAAGGCCCTGCTGCTGCTCTGTGGGGGAGAAGACGACTGAGAGCCCCGCCGAAGGGCCCCGCCCCCGCCAGCCCCGCACCGCCCGCGCCCGCCCACATGCCAGAGCCCCGCCGCGGCGCCAGCCCTGACCAGCCGGCGTGGGAGCCGCGGGGCCTGCTCCCCCGCCCCAGACCCCCGCCCACCGCTGGAGCCCTCGCTCGTGCTTAGGTCACTAGGGCTGACGTCTGCGACACTTAGATGTTTTCCTGTAAGAGGTCAGGCCGCACGTCGCATTCTAAACAGCTTCACCGATGTCCAATCCGTAACCGTATCACCTTAACTGGGAGCTTAGCCTTGGCCCTGTGAGTCCCTGGATGTCTCAGCAATCAAGGTCGCCGCTAAATTAAACCTGGAAAATGATGGAGGTTGCATTTGAAAATTAGCAGTAAATAAACATTTCTTTCCCCTACATCGTGTGTGGGTGTGTGTTTAGAAAATTTTTCTCTCTCACGGCGGCACCCGTCCTCAGACGAGCCAGGGGGCCGCGCTGTCTGCGGGCGGCTCGCCGTGTCATTTGCTCTGAGTCTTGCTCTGAGTGGCTTATTTTACCGAGCGGAATACCCTCCAGGTCCATCCATGCCGTCCCACTGGTGGGCTTTCATCCTTTGTCGTGTAGAGCTGAGGGACACCGCACGGCACAGCGGTCCCGCGTCTGCTTATCCGGTTGTCGGTCGGCGGACACTCCCGCTCCCACGTCCTGGCTGTTGTGAACAGCGCAGCATGAGCAGAAGGGCAGCTGTATCTTTTCAAGTTAGGTCTCTGAGTTCTTCAGATAAATACGCAGAGGTAGGATTGCTGGGCTTTGCTAACCCACCACCTTTACTGTGCGGTTACCTCTCCAGGGAGATTTTAACTTATATGTGTTTTCTTGTATTGGTGCCTTTTCGGAGTAACAAGGCCCCTTTAACATTTCTCGTAAGCCTGGTTTAGTGCGGACGATCGCCTCAGGGTTTGCTTGTCTGGAAAACTCTTTGTCTCTCCTGCGGTTGGGAAGGATAGTGCGGATAGTGCGCTGGGCAGAATACTCTTGGGTGGCAGTTTTTCCCCCCAGCGCTTTGACCGTATGGTGCTATTTCTTCCTGGCTGCACACTTTCTGCTGAGAACTCTGCTGGGAGTCCTGGAGGGTTCCCTTGTTCACAAATTGTATTCCTCTTGCTGCTTTCAGGCTGGTCTTTGTATCTTTCACGTTGACACTTTAATTACAATGTGTGTTGATGTGGATCTCTGAGCTCATCTTACTGGGAACCTGCCGGGCTTCCTGGGCTTGTTGTCTGTTTCTTTCCCCACGTTAGGGAAGTTTTGACACTTGCTCTTTCCCGGGGACCCCGCCCCATCCCGCGCATGCCGGTTGGCTTGATGCCGTAGTCCCTTACGCTGTCTCTGCCCTTCCTCACCCTTCGTTTAGGCTGCCTGAGCCCCTCTGTCCTTTGTTCTGCTGCGTCTAGGCTGCTGTTGGACCCCTCTGTTGGATTTTCTGATGTCAGCCACGGTGTTCTTTGGCTCTGTGCTTTCTGTTTGGTACCTTCTTACAGTTTCTGTCTCTGAAATTTTCTGTTTATTCATTGTTCTCCTGAGTTTGGTGGGCGTCTTTATGACCCTTCTCAGACTTTTTATGAGGTAGGTCACTTATCTCCACCTCATTAAGGTCGATTTCCGAGGTTTTATCTCGTTCTTCATTTCCTGCGCCGTTGGTTCCCTGATTAGATAAAGCCACCACCCCTCCCGCTTCTGTGGGGACTCTGCCCTGGTCTGCGGGTGCCCCAGTCCTCTGTGGCTGTTCAGCCTCCAGCCTGACTTGGTGGCGGAGGGTGGCCCAGACCCGGCAGTGCCCAGAGAGGGGAGGCCCCAGCGGCGCCCGGAGCCGGCCATCCCTTGGGCAAACACTCCCGTCTCCGGGCGAGGCTCGGGGGCGGGCTCCCGTGCGCGCCCTCTGCGCTGCGTCTTGGGGTTACTGCCGGGCCCCAACCGCTCCTTGGTTTGCGGCTCATCGGACCAGTGAGCCCAACCCCCAGGGGCCACCAGAGCCAGGTGACGAAGAGGTGGCCCCTGGGCAGCAGGCGCAAAAACCATCATGCCACCCAGGGGCACAGCTCCCAGGACCTACTGGCAGTGGCAGCTCAGGCAGACGCAGGGAGTGGAGGTGGACCCTCTGGGCTTGTCCCCAGACAGCGCCCCCATGGCCCCGTGCAAGCCTATGTGACTAGAGGCCCCAGGACAAGCAAACAGGCCGCTTCACAGACAGACTTCACCGAGGGTGGGGTCTGTTTCAGGCTGAGTCTGTGCCTTTGCCCCGGGGGTGGCTCTTGCCAAGAACTGTGTTTGTTTTGATCCCGGGGACCCAGGAACACAAGCTGCCCTGGCCTCCAGAGCCAGGTGGCCAAGCGGGGGGTCCCCTGGGCGGCACCCCCAAAGCCGGGCCCCGGATGCATGCAGATGCTTCCCCTGGCGAGCAGGCGGGGTGAGTTCGCGGCCTCCCGTGCGTTTAGGAGGAAGCCTGCCTCTTGGGCTGGGGCCGTGAAGGTGAGGGAGACAGACAGGGGCCGAAGGGTGCTGGCTGGTTAGGAACCCGCTCCCCGTTTGCACAGCTCTGTGGTCCGCGTGAGCCTGAGCCTGCTGGCCGCCAGAGCCGGGTGGTGTGGAGGTGTCTCCTGCATGCGGCAGCCGCAGAGTCGGGGCACCAGGCGGACGCACCGGCTCCTTCCCACGAGGCGCCAGTGGCCTGGAGCTGGGCCCGCACGACCTCCATCTTTGCGGAGGGTTCAGAGGCCCCAGGCCGTGTGCTCACCCGATGCCGCCCCGACGCTGACAGGTTGGCTTAGTAAGCACATCAGCTTCTTTCACGGAGGGAGGGGGCGCTTTGCAGTCGGGGCCTGTGGGCTGGGCCCCGGGGGCGGGTCCTCGTGGGTCTCGCGGACACGAGCCCTGTTGGTTTTCAAAGCGGGATATTTCGGGGGCTTGTATCTCAGGTCTTAAAATTTAGTTAGGGGGCCAGATGTGGGGTTCAGACCCTTCCCTCCTGAGGGGGAAGCTGGGCTCTGAGGGCCCTCCCGGCCGGGTCACCATGCTGGGGTGGAGCTGACGGTGAGGCTGCGTTGCGGCCTCTCCTACCGCTTTGACGCAGCGTTTCCTCGTCTGTCTCCTGTGTAGTTTTATCTCAGAAGAAGCTACTCTGCACCTCGCTGCAGAGTGTCCGTGGAAGGAGGGGAGTTCAAGACCCTGCTGCGTGGCCACCTTGAGCCGCACTCTTGCTTTCTCCCCTTTTCCTGTTGGGGAGGTGAGCCGCGTCCATCGACTTCCGAATGTTGGACGGCGTCGCGTTCCCGCCTGAACTGCGCTGTGTCATGATGTGCTGTCCTTTTCGGATGTCGCCGGATTTGTTTTCTAATATATTTTTTGAGGATGTTTGTTTCATGTTAAGGAAGGATATTGGACTGTAGGGTTTTTTTTTAAGTATTTTTGCCCAGTTTTGGTGTCAGAGTCATGCTGGCTTCATAAAACAGTATTTCTCCCTGTTCTGTCTTGTGCAAGAGTTTGTATGGATTTGGCGTGAAGGTTTCCTTACGTGTTTGATAGATCTGTGAGTGAAGTCCGTCACGAGCTTTTAGGCGGGAGTGGGGGGTAGGGTGGATTTAAACTACAAGTTTAACATATATACACTTTTAAATATGCAGATATTACATATATACTCATGTATCACATACTTATTGGCTTAAAATAACACCAACCACTGTCTTAGAGTAATAGAGGCCAGAGGTCCAAAGTCGGCCTCCCTGGGCTCGAGTGAAGGTGTGGGTGGGGCGGTGCTCCTGCCGGCGGCTCCAGGGGGACGTGTCCCCCCCACCGCCCCCCGCCGCCGTTTGTCCCAGCTGCCAGAGGTCCCTGCGTCCCTAGCCCTCGGGCCCCCTCCGTCTTCCAGGGCAGCAGCCGATCACTCCGGCTTCTGCTTTCCGCCCTCCCACCCCTTCTGCCGGGGACTCTGTTCCTTGTCAGGACCCTGTTGACTGCCCCGGGGCCGCCTGGATGAAGTGGGCAGTTGTCCTGGACCCGAGGGCCACGCCTGCGAACCCCTGTAGCCACGCGAGGCCACGCAGTCACGGATTCCAGGGGTTAAGACGTGGCCTTCTCTTGGGAGTGGAGTGGAACGGAGCATTCTTTCTGCCTGCTCTACGCGGTTTGAGAAGACGCTTCTATTGTGTACACAGCGTTTCTCTCTGTAGGGTAAGAGTGATGCTCTGCGTTCTAGCTGTAAGCAGACCTTCCAAATACTGTGCCTTTAGGGAGTTAACTTAGCTCATGTAAACGGGGAAGAGACGTTTCATCGCTTCGTTTTTTATTACTTGGACTATTTTAATGACGCAGGTCCCTGGCCCAGTCTGCTGCAGTCCCTCCTGTGCCCAGCAGGTGGTGCTGTCGGCATAAACTAACCTCCTCGACTTTCAAACTGCGCTTTTCCAGGGAAACCTGAAAAACTTCAGCCCCAGAGGGTGCTCCTCCACCGTCTTCCTCACGCCAACCCTGGGACAGGAAGCAAATCTAAATTTTGATCCCCTGCTTGGTTACTCATTTGTAACTCTGTTTTAGGACATTCAGGGGGTTTTTTCCCCCCAAAAGGATACCCTTTTCCAAAAGTTTGCTTTCCTCATGATACTTTGTAGTCATTAACTTCCACCTTCCCTCCTGCCCCTGCCCCTGGGCTGGCGCGCAGAGCACACAGCACGCCTCTTCCCCAGTAAAGTCTTTGGATGTTTCTACAGAGAAGATACATTTCTCTCCTTTGTTAAACCTGATAACAACTCGATGCCCAGCCAGAGGTGCACCTGGGAAGAGGTCCCCTAATGCGCAGTGAATCTGCCTTCTGGGTTTTCATATTGGAAATGAAGGAATGTTCTAAACATTTGAATTTACTCATTTTCCCTGTTATGTGCTCATACACAAACCTCTAAAACTACTGTCCTGTCTCCCGCAAATGCATGCGCCCCGCCCCCCCCCCCCAAATTCTTTATTTCTGGTGGTGGCTCTGCATGCGTCCTGCCTGCCAGTCTCCAAGCCTGGGAAGGTTTCCTACCCGCCCTTCCTGTTCCTTCCTGTTAAACTAGCAACTTAGCGCAGGCAGTTTTCCCTCCTTCCATCCACCTGCCCGCCCCCGTCTCTCCCCTGCTCTCCCCAGCTGGGAACCTGTGTTTGGCATCCCCTTATTTGGACAACCTCAGTGACTTCTTTGTGTTAAAAGAAAGGAAGTCTTTGTTTTCATCAAAGCAACAAAGACACCACTGTAAACAGTTGAACAGCAGGAACATTTAAGGAAGAGAAGCCCTCCTCCCCGGTCTCCTGGCCCCTCCCCGCCCCACTGGGGTGGCAGTGACAAGTGTCAGCCGTTTGTGTCACTTTCCCTGTAAGTGCTT